GTATTATTTTCAGTGTTAAAGAGCGTTCCCAGGTATACAAATTCGTTCACTGCTTTATGACGTCGTTGTTCATGTTTATTATTAAACCCATTTTTGTAGCTTGTTGTTTCTTTTAATGCTACATACGCCTCTCGTACAGCGTTTACCGTTCTCCCAACAATACTGATATTATCAGCATAGGCCAGGATTTGCACTGATTTATTATGTATCGAACCAGTGGTCGTGATTTGTGACATACGTATTATTTTTCCAGAGCTACATTGAACAATATACAGGAGATAGTGTTTCCCCGACGCAGCCCATGTTTTAAAAGGTTTAGACAGTTTTCCCTGAATTCGTACTCTACATTCAACTTTTTCAAGAGTTATTTTTGTTAAATTTCCAACTGATTTAGTATTCCTAGTTCTTTCCTTGCTTTGAACATGTCTCTTCTATTCAGAGAGTCGTAGGCTGCTTTGTAGTCTATAAATATGTGATGAGTATCAATACCATATTCCAGTGTTTTTTCCAAAATTTGTCTCAGTTGTTGTAATCTGATCTGATGAATTGTCGATTTACCACTTCTGAAACCAGTCTGGTATTTTTCTACTATCCGTTCTGCATATGTTGCCATATAGTAACATAGTGCTGTGAAAAATATTTTATACGCTGCGTTTAGAATTCCTCTGTGGTTAGAGCATTTAAAGATATCTAATTTTTTGTATATGGTGCAAAGTATTCCAATATTCCAATCATTGGGGAAATATTTCTGTGTATATTTCTTTTAAAGATGCTGTAATACCATAATGGTAATACGGCCCCTTTTTTTATATAGTTTAGCTAAGAGATTATCTATTCCGGGTGATTTGTTTCTGGCTAGATTTTTAAGTGCATCTTTACCTTCAAGAATCGGTGGTGGTTCCTCTTCCCTCTCGTCTGCTTTCCTTACCTCATCCCTTTTGTGTTCCAGATTTTCTGCTTCTTATTTCATAAGTGTTTGATTAAAGTATTGCACCCACATATTTAATACATCTTTCCTTGTTGTTAATAATTCGTCATTTTGACTTGTGCATTGTCTTGTGATTGCCTTAAATTCTTTTCTGTTGATGTTAACTTTCTTATAGAATGCTCTGAATTCTTTCTCTCTGTTAAGGTTTTCTATATATTTAAGTTCCGTATTTAGATATTTTCGTTTTTTTCTTTGGTGTATCTTTTCTTATCTTCTCTTTGTTTAGTAAAGGTCGATTCAAACACATCAGCTCCGTCACAGTCCTAGCGCTGAACCGGTCCCGTCTGGTCATAGAACTATTTTTTCGTCTATTCGCACATACCCGAAATGCATCAGTCTTCGGCGACCAATTTGTTGAAAAGATGGAAAGTTTCTCGGATGAAGAATTAGCAATAATTACTATATGTTTTGACGAGGAAGAAGAAGAAGCGGATGTAAATCAAGCAAAAAGACGGAAATGGATCCATGACGCATAGAAAAAAAGGGATACCGAAGGAGAATACGTGACACTGTATAAAGAACTGCTTCATGATGATGTAAAATTTCATCAATATTTTAGGATGTCGAAAAATTGCTTTCCTGACAAATATTATGTTTTAAATTAATGTCCATGCATTTTGCATGCGACAAATCATATAAAACATTATATTTTCTCAAACATTCTATTAAGTGTTCATCAATAATTTTATTTTGTTCACTTGTACCGCCCGTAATGTTCCCGGCAAAACCAAAAAATTCTTCGCTGAGATTATAAAAGCGGCCGGGCGATAGACGTGTCGAAACCTGACTACTGGGAATCTGTTCGTCAACTGATGAGTGTGAATGGCGGCGGCATAATTCTTTTAAAGAATATTTTGTATAACGGATACACACGAAACACCAAACGACCAACATACAATCTAGACAAATTAAAAACGGCTACAGGAAGACACATGTTTAGGGAGGAACTTCAACTCAAAAGAAGAGAACGTGAAGTAAATAGCTGGGAAGATCTGGCAAATGTTTTGACAGAAATAGCTGAAGATAAACTGGGTAAAAAAGAGAAACATAGAAAAGAATGGATATCAGATGAAACTTGGAATCTTATTGAAGAAAGAAAACAGCAAACAAAAGATATTTTGCAAGCAAGAACTGTAGAAGAAAGAGCGAACCGACAACAAGAATATGAAACAATAAATAAAGCAGTTAAAAGAAATGCAAGAAGAGACAAAAGAAGATGGGCTGAAGAACTGGCAAAACAAGCCGAAATAGCTGCACAACACAATAGAACTAGAGAGCTATACCAAATTACTAGACATCTAACAAAAAGTGGGCCCAACTGTTCAAACGTCGTAAGATCCAAGACAGGAGAATTACTTACTACAACAAATGACCAAATAGAGAGATGGAAAGAGCATTTTCAGGAGATGCTAGGCACGCCCAGGGATAACGCAGATGAAATTGTCGAAAATCCACAGAATATAGACTTGCGTATATCTTGCGACGCCCCTTCCAAAACAGAGATAATAACAGCTATCAAATCTCTGAAAAATAACAAGTCTCCGGGAATCGATAACATTGCTGCCGAAATACTTAAAACTGATCCGCATCTAACTGCTGAACTTTTGCTCCCCATAATCCGAGAGGTGTGGGAAACAAACCGCATTCCAGCGGGCTGGAAAAAAGGCATCATTATTAAGCTTCCAAAAAAGGGCAACCTCACACTATGCAAAAATTGGAGAGGAATAACCTTGCTTACCGCCATAAATAAAATCACGACCATCATACTTAAAAGATTAACAAACAAGATTGAATTTCAAGCTAATCAAGTAGGCTTTAGACCAGAATCCTCCTGCATAGACCACATTAATACTGTGGGGCTAATAATGGAACAATCGGTTGAATGGAACACACCCCTATACATGGTTTTTGTTGATTTCGAGCGTGCTTTTGACAGCTTATCTCATGATGCGATATGGAAAATTTTAGAGCTAAAAAACATCCCGCATAAAATAATTTCCATTATAAAGTTACTGTACACTGAAGCGAAATGCAGCGTGACACACAATGGGATCAACAGTGACGAATTTGACGTACTTACTGGAGTCAAGGATGCGTGCTTTCTCCGTTTCTTTTTAACATAGCTCTAGACTATGTTCTCTCCAAACTAGACTCTGACACAAGAGGGATACAATGGACGTTAACCACACGCCTAAGCGATGTAGAGTACGCCGACGATATCTGCCTGTTAGGACAAAGGTTCCAAGATGTGGCTGACCAATTGGAAACACTTTCGACTGAAGCCAATAAAATAGGTTTGAAAATCAATATTGGTAAAACCAAATCCATGAAAATAAATGCAAGAAACAACACGCTATTCACCATTAATAACATGCAGATTGAAAATGTGGAAAACTTTACGTATCTTGGAAGTGTCATAACAGAAAGCGGAGGTACAGAAGACGATATTCGTATGAGGATACGAAAAGCGCAACAAGCTTTCAGCATGCTCAACCCTGTTTGGAGGTCTGGAGACTACACTACGAGGACAAAGATCCGCATATTCCAGTCAAATGTCATGTCTGTACTACTTTACGGATGTGAAACCTGGAAAGCGACAAAAACCCTTACAGACAAACTGCAGGTCTTTATTAATAAATGTCTACGAAGAATTGTTCGTATTTTATGGCCTAACATCATCAGAAACGAAGATTTACTACACCTGATTAAACAAAAGAGGGTAGTAAATGAAATAAAGTCCAGAAAGTGGGGTTGGATCGGTCACACACTCCGAAAAAATAACTCCACTATGGCAAAGACTGCCCTAGAGTGGAATCCTTAAGGAAAACGAAAAAAAGGTCGCCCAGTACAAACTTGGAGAAGATCCATCATGAACGAGATAAGAAAACAAGGAAAGTCTTGGAATGAGGTGAAGGCCTTAGCGCAAAATAGAACCCGATGGCTCGTTTTCACTGAAGCTCTATGCTCCACTTAGGAGTTCAAGAACCCTTTATATATATATATATATATATATATATATATATATATATATATATATATATTGTATAACGGATTGTTAGGTTCGGTTCCGGGACTGTGACGAGACGTGACTGATGTGTTTGAAATCGACCCTACAGTTGTTCTAGTTCATCGGTAAGCATCTTTCTGTAGGCTTTATTATTTTTCTTTTGTTGCATTCTTGTATTCGTCGTCAAACCAATGATTTTTACGGGAACAAATTTCTGTTCCTATTTCATCTTTAGCTGCTGCTTCAATGTCTTTCCTGATTTTGGTCCAGTAGAATTTCTATTTCTGGACAGCCTATTTCTGTCTGGCCTTCTTCATTTAGATACATTTTGATTCCTGAGCCTGTTCGTAATGTTTTCCGAGTACCGTTCTGCAATTGTCGCATCTCTCATCTTTTGCACATCCCATTTTTTTTTGTATTCATTTTATTTTATTTTCTTTACTGGTGTTATATTTAAATATGGCTGCAAAGATATAAGCGAAAATATTGACAAATAAAGATTAGCAAAAATGATATAATTAATATTTTTTGACAAGCTTTTATAGGCTGTTTTGAAGAATAGAATCGTTAATAAAAATTGTGTTAAATGCAAAAAGGATAACAAAATATATAAAAAAGCACCAAATAACCATAAAAAGTCAGAAAAGGCATACATACTTTAAAAAAAGCAAAAGAAATCATAACAAAGTTCTGTTAAATGACTTATTTTTGCTTCTCTCGTTCATATTTAAAAAGAAAATATTCGACAACTATTTTATAAATGTCCTATATTAAAATATTATAAACGTCATCAGTCTCACACATTACCATGCAACGAATAAAAAAAGTTTGATAGAGACGGCATTTGAAATCAAAAATAGATGGGTTTTAGGGTTTTCTCATGAACTCAATGACTTAAGATATAACTATATTATTTATTTTATAGTATCTCCCTTTATAATGACTTTCGAATAACAACTTTCAATTTCATTAATTACATATATTAATATATTTAATATGTTTTAGAGAAACTTGAGTGCACTGCCAGCCAGTTAGCTTGTTTACTAACCGTTCGTAAAAGTAAGTTGCAAGTTTTATTATTGTGTTGATTATTATCGAAATAAGTAAAACGAAACATCAGACAAAAGTTTTTTCTTTGCAAAAAATAGAACAACCAGAAGTTGTATTATTTCATTTACGTACATGTTCTATTCGAGGCTATTTAAACGATTTCCGAAGTGGAAACTGAAACGTCAATAAACGTATTTTAACCTTTAATTGTGGCTTATTCTATTTAAATAGTAGTTACTCAAATCTACTCTTATACCAGACCTATTGACAGAATGTAATGAGCCACCTTTACATTTAAGAAGTCTATTTTTGGCAAAACAATTTATTCTTTAATGCCATTATAATAATCAAAACAGATTATTACAAAAATATCTTGTCTCTTTGTTAAAAATCTACCAAACAAATGGTAGGCTAATAAAAACTCTCCAACTAGAGCTGTTGCTTTCCCCACTTTATCACAATATTCATTCAATGGAGAAGGGATTCCATTCTTTGGCTCCAATTATGACATACAATATGACCATAAACCTGCTGTAGTAATTCCTTTATCTATTTCAATTCCCGAAGATTTAGTAGTACAGAACAAGCTGGAAAACTGTAACCATTCTTGTAAAATTTATACCGATGGCTCAAAATTGCCTGCTGTTGTTGGCTGTGCCATTTACATATACAAAATTCAAGATTATTTTCAGTACAAATTAAAATGAGATTGCTCAATACTCACAATAGCACACTATATTCGAACAATTTATAATTTTATCTGACTCACAGATACTTAGTCTTAACAGACTAATTGTAAGTCCTTAGGATCCTAAGCTAAGGATCCTAAGTTCTCTAAAAAGAATTTTTAACTTTGTGTGGGTTAAAAGTCACTAATTTTCCAGACAATAAAAAAGTAGACCATTTTTCTAAAGACGCTACTTTAGTGAGTATAAAATACGACAGAAGGTTATGAATAGAATATGCAGAAGGTTAGTCCCAGGCTAGCTAAAGTACAAGTTATGGATGTTCAAATGCTTCTTACACAAATACATGTCTCTCAATATGTGTGTGCGTATGTGCATGTAGGCGTGTACGTGTGGGCATACGCACAAGCAGATGAGTCTCTCGTTGTAAAACGGTACGGGTGGGATGTTGGAGGGTATGACGAGGTAAACTTGGTTCGTATCAGGCTAGCACAGTTACCATATCTCCTCACCACAAGTCCTAGGTGTCCAAATGTTCCTTGCACATACGCATGACTCTCAAGTATGTGTGGGTACGTGTGCTTGCTCGTGCTCTACGTTGTCGTTTGTGGCGATGGCTGTCGAACCAAGACATATGCCTACTTTCTCTTCTATGAGAATAAACCCATTATTTTAATTGTAAATTTAAATTTTAAACCATTTTTTAATTGAATGTGTAAATTGTATTTAAATAAATAAAATCGACGGGATTGCAGTAGGCAGTAGATGCATACAAACAAAAATATTGCTGATACTTGTACCAGTAAGGCAAAGGACGATAACTGATCAATTCTCAAAAACTGGGAAAGACTAATCAACACTCAGTCCAGGTAGAAGCTGGCCGATTGATTAATACTCGATAGAAGATAGGCCGACCGATCAATAGTTGATCACAGCCCATTGACCACATTAACGAGTTTCTTCTCAGTTTGTCAAACAGATGTTTTCGCTCGCATTTTGTTGTTGCTATGCCACGCTACATGGAACTTGTCATCGAAATCGCTTCAACGTCAGAAATAAAGAACACTGGTTCAAGAATATCCAAATGTATTTTCTTCAGACGATATAGGTCGCATCTATACAGTGACAAATAAACACGAATGTTATTAACTTCGACTTTTTTTTAAGTGTTGATAATCCGACATCGTTTCAACAATTAATAACGGTTGATGAACATCTATGTACAACTTACTGTGGGGCTTATTAACTATTACAATTAATCGAGAACCGATTAGTCCCTGGTCCTGTGGCTATTTTAAAAATAAATTTCATGCAAAATTGAAAATATTTTAAAAAATGATTAAATTTTAAGACAAATTAAACATGTTACATGTATTGTAACAAAATTTGACATATTAGTTAATTTTAATGCGGTACGAATTTAGCCGAGTCAGCTGATGTAATATGTATAGGTCGTAGACAAGTATGAAATACAGACATTTTTGCAAAAGCCTAGTCATTTTCGTAATGACTTGGCAGTTTGTATAACGTTTTCATTTTTACTAAATGATTTCACCCTTTAGGCATGTGCGAAACTACCGAAAACGGTAATTATATTTTGAAACAGTGTTGCAATTAGTTGCAAACAGATCATATAATATAAAAAAATTGTACTAATCTAATTCTCTAACCCTAGTTTTCCAATTTCCATGATTACAGATTACATCAGTGTTTAGAATTATACAGTCTATGTAAGTATACTATTAGGTCACATTTGTATTATTACAGATATTAGACATGGCTAATCGGGAAAAATTCTAAGAACAATTACATAAATTTTACGGTTTTTAAAGGTATTTACATCTGCAACAAACAAAAAAAATTCAATCAAGCATCACTACCTATTTTCCTAGAAAGAGTTTCAATATAATCCCTACAAATCTCGAAAAGTTTAGAAGTTACGTCAACTTATTAGAGTAAAATTTATGTAATTGTATAATATGTAGCCATGTCTAATATCTATAATGTGACTTAATAGTACACTAAGATTGTAAATGTAAACTTCTGTAAACATGTAGGTAATCTGTAATGTGTTGTAATCTTGGAAATTGGAAAACTAGGGTTAGAAAAGTAGGTTCGGACATGTATCTCTTGATACGTATTTCGACCTAATAGGTCTCGTCAGAAAAGCTATTCATAGGGGTTCTCAACGTGAAAAATCAATATTTTCTGCATTTTAAGAAGCAACAATAACATGGCTTCAATACGGACGCTGTAGCGACATCTAATTAAACAATCGTACAATAGTTTCGAAACACAAAGAATTGCAAGGCAAACAGACGTTGATAAAAGATGTTAAAAGAGACATGGAGAATCTAAAATTTGCATTCCACGACATGTCTTTTACAACTAAGCATTTTAAAATTAAACTTTTCCTCTTTTGTGAGCGCAGTGATGTTTTTATTGTCATATTTGTGAGAACGAATTCTGGATTGAAGCAGTTGACTGGTTTGCCCAATATAGACCTTTACAGTTAATACATGGTATCTCGTAAACAACATGTGATCTATTGAGTTTTAGAGTTTGTAGTTTTAGTTAAGTGAAATATTTATTTCAAACGTTGTTGCCTTTGTGAGCCACTGTTATGTTATGTTTGGCTCAAAGATTTGTTAGTTGTTTGGATAAACCTTTTATATATGAAGAGTTGTATACGTAGTCTTGATACTGTGGTGTTTAATGTTATTTGTTATATATATATATATATATATATATATATATATATATATATATATATATATATATATATATATATAAGAGTAAGAAAAAAGAAGTACTTGTGACTCGTTTGGAAAAAATATAAAACTGTTTTGGATGGGTTGGAGTCAATAAAAGGGGCTATTTGTTGACTATTTTTTACTCGAGCTTTCAATTGTGATTACAATTATTATCAAGAGCTTCTAAAAAATACAAAATATCTTACAAAGTTGAACTAGAAATAAAAAATTAGTTGAATCACCAAATAAAATTAGTTTTTTATATAAAACTGCTGCTAACATATTAATTAAAAAAAATATTATTAAAAAAATGTCCTATTTTAATAAATGTTTCTCTGAAATAAATTTTGACAAAGTTTCTTAACAAAAACAATTGAATTTGTAAACAAAAATTGAATAGCTACAAAACAGCCTCAATGTCATAAATACCAACTTAAAAATTTTTATTTTTGACATATTGTCAAAAATAAAATTTTGTTTAAAAAATTCTTTTTTGTTTGGTAACAAAAAAGAAGAAGATTTATTCATCATTGATAGATGTCTGAAAAAATGTAACAAATGGCAAAACTAGATCATCTACATATCTTTTGATAAATGGAATAAAAAAAGTGCAATTATTGATACAATCACTAATAACATCATCCATGACATAGCTACTTAGAAGGCGTGAAAGACTAGATCCCGTAGGGCTACCAAAAATTTGATTATAAAAAACACCATTAAATATAAAAATATTAGTATATATATATATTAGTATGTTGCGAAATCTCATTCCAATGTTTTTGAACTAAGTTCACTAGTTATGATTAAATTTAAAGGTAAATTAACCCTTTTTCCATCGTTATATTGATAACTGTTTGAGTGCAGCACCAGAGGATAAAATGCATATTTTGATAAATGAATTCAATAACTTTCACCAAAAACTAAATTTCGCATTATAAGTTAATAGGTTTATTAGAACAACTTGAAAATCTTTTGTCTAAACATAACATTACAGTTCATAAAAACACAATCTTTTGAAAAACAATGTTACAAAAGTAAAAACAAAAACTCCTCAATTAAAAAGATCGTATGTTGTAAATGAAATTCCCCGCTCGAACTGCGATGGGGTTTGTAATCGACAAATCAGTCTTAACTTCGTCACACGTGACTTAACAGTCACTTAACTCAAGAACAAAATCTCACAAATGTGACAAATAAAAATACTCAACCGCCCTCACAAATCATGACAACGAAAAGAAACATAAGTTTGATTTTGACAAAACTAAAATCCTAAAAATGAACAGGAAAAAGAGAAAGCTTCTAGAGTTTTTGTTGAACCTATTCTTTATCCTTCTATTGTTGGATATAGGTTTCCCCCAGTTCTCTCCATCTAGAGTCTATAAAAATCAAAAAGAATAAAAATGCAATAAATGATAAAAAGATGTCAAAAATTTAAACAAGATATATTTTAATTTAATTTCTATTTAAAATTACAAAACATACAAATAAATATTCTTAGTATGTTTATATGTCTTTTAATAAAATGTTTTCTAGTCCATGTCATTTCTTGAAAAAAGCATGGATATCCTGCAGAAACGTCGAAAAAGTCAATGAAAATGTCTTAGTAATCAGAATTATTGATTTAACTATGAAGTTTCTAAATCTATAAACATTAAAAAATTGTACTTATAGATTAATAACTTTAAACTTAATGTTTTGTCAAAATGTAAAAATTTTATGACCTAACCTCATGAGGTAAGCTTTTAAGCTTCTTTTATACTCTTATGTTTCTATTTGATTGTATTACTGAAAAATTAATTTCAATTTATTTAAGCATATTCTGATGCGGCAAATAAATTTTACGAAAGCTCGATATTACCAACTTACAACAGCCACCTATATATTCACCTGTAATCCCTCGTACTATGTACACACTAATCTCCCTTACTATAATCTCAGTGGCTGTGCCCACTGCTCAAGCCGACACGAAGCCCCCCGAGAGAGGCAGTTAAAAGAGCAAGCCAACGAAGTAACGTCTCCGCGCTATGACTTATTTTTTGTCAACTTAAATGTTTTAAATCCCAATATAATTTACAGTAACAAGTGTTTAACGTGTATTTCGTGTACCTACCCCAAAAATTCCCCTTATATTGGCGCCCCAACGAGTGGCACGGAATAAATAAACGTTATAACTTTGTGTATTGAGGTTATAGCGGGATTTTAGTTCCCACTTTTATACAGGACTTTTCTGCTATCGCAACCTATCTGTGGACTATATGTTATGTGTTTCTCGTGTGAGCTATCACCGAAAAAAATAAATCGTTCGCGGAACAATTATTAAAGTTACAAGATAAAACGTTTGGGGCTTAATTTTGCCGGTAACGCATATCCCTGCGTAGAGGCTAATTGTGTATACAGACTGTTCCAAAAATTGGCGCGTAAATTACGTTTCTGGGTACATTCTAGATAAAATACTTTTGGAAATATTTTACATCAGGTTTACCAGTGACAGAACAGGACTTCGTTTATGGAATCTAGGAAAAACAGTAAGCTAAACTGTTTCAAACTGTAAGTTTTTCTTTTAATATTTTTACTTGTTCACTGCTGCAATCTGGATGTAAACCATTCGTACAATCTTAGATCGAAAGATAAGATGGCTAATACTGCTCTAGTGACGCTTTCGCAAGAACAATTTCAAGAACTTTTAACTCGCATTGCTGGTGTTAATCTTCAACACACTATTCCTTCAGTAAATGTACAAAGCGGTAACTTTGCAAAATGCAATTCACGATTTAACGGTAGTTCGGAGACTGATGTCAA